CACAAATTTTTTACTTAAAATGGAAAATAGCAAAATTAATGAGACATCTAAAAATGAAAGTGTGTGGATGAGGTTGCTTTAGTTTGTTTGGTGGTGTGAACCCAAAGTGTTGGGGGTTTGCAATATACTCCGTACTTCAATTTCACCAGCCACGTGTGATCTTATCCATTCACTACCTTTTTTGACTTTAGTCCATCCCCACCAACCAATCATCCATACTCCTTTAATTTTACTTGACACACACGAGATGTTCACAAGTTATGCCCCAGTCACAAGCCACTACTTGTTACTATACGTTTCCTTTTTCTCCTCTCTTATGAAAACAATAACCTCGAAGTTAAGAACTAAGAATAATGACAATAAATGGAAAATGATGAATAAAATTGTGATGTTTATTATGAGAAAATTATTACTAGCAGTATTTTGTACGGAGTATAATATAAATTAGAGATCTTTAAAATTTTATTTACGCATTCAATAGTAATAGTATCTTATATCATTATGACACATGATTTTCGGATTGCTAATTTGGTAATTTTTGTCAAAAATATTATCATGTTTAAAGTTTGGTACTACCAAATATTATAATAATCACTTTTATTAAGTGAAAAAACATTTCAGTTCTAGTTTGGAATACACAAAAGTTTTTATCCATATTTAGGACAATAGGTTTTGAATGGAATTATATTTGATGCATTCTTTAAAAGGCAAACGACTAATGCATAAAATTTTACAACACAAGGGGTTATAATTGTTTTCTTAGTGAAATTAAATGAAAAACGGATAAAGACCTAACATTTGAGAGAGGTTTCAAAATTTAAATGAAACGCAACACATTTTCTATTGTGCGTGATCTCCCAAAACACCTCCAATACATATATAGTACTCCCTTTGTCTCGTTGTAATGTTCTCACTTTCTTTTTTTGGATGTCCAATTGGAAAGTTCCCATTTTCCTAAATGAAAAGTTATCATACATAAAAACAGGGTCAAACAGTGTAAAAAAGTGTCAAACAATGTCGAAATAGTGCCAAACTGTGTCAAAACAGTAATGTCTACCCCCTGATAAGTTTATTTCCTTAATATGTGTGTAGGTCAAACTGAGAACATTCCAACGGGACGGAGGGAGTAACTGAATAAAAAAATTAATACACAGGTAGCTCAGTTGGTTGAATGGTAGGAAAATTGAATAAGGGACCAAGGTTCGAATCCCGCAGCGATCGTGTGGAGGTTGCAGCCTTTGAAATGGGCTAGACTTCTGGCGCGCACGGGTATATGGGCCTACTGCCACTTCGCTAACTGAGTCACCGTGATTTACATCATCACACGTGTTCTGTTGAGTCGGGTGTGGGGAGCTCCAGGGATGAGAGATTCCACCTTTTTTGGATCAAGAATAAAACAATTAATAGACTACTCCCTCCGGTCCGTATTAAAGTTCTCACTTTCCTTTTTGGGATGTCCCTTATTTAAGTTCACACTTCCATTGTAGGAAACAAAACAGTGCAAAACAGTGTCAAACAGTGTCTAAACAGTGCACTCCACAGTAAAAGTCAAATATATTTTCTTAATTTGTGTGAAGTCAAACTGAGAACTTTAATAGGGACCGGAGGGAGTATAAAATATTGGAGGAACGAATAAAATAATTACTCCCTCCGTATCTATTTACTTGTCATACTTTCCTTTTTTGGTGTATCAAATTAATTGTCTTCTTTCCTTTTTTGGAAAGAATCTCACTCAAAAAATAGCTACAGTACCGCTACAGTATCAAAAAGCTCTTACTTTTTATAAAGTCTACAGTAATTGTCTTAAACTCCATGAAAAGCAAATGAGTCATCTAATTAGATACCGTAAATTATTTTAGGAGTAAATAATATAGTTTCAAAAAATTGTAGCTCAGACAGTGAATTGATAGCTTCTATCAGCAGCAGGCTATATATGATAGACTATTAATCTGTCCCATACCAAACCCGAATTTCCCATCTACCCAAAATGAGCAAGCGGATCGGAGTTGCACTATTTATTAGCCGGATTAATTCCATTCACCAATAACATCAAAATACGTAACAATCAAACTTGTTTAGAGCAAGTTTGCATAAAAATAAAAGCGAAATGAGAGAGGTATAGAAACAACTTTGTAGTGCAAGGGAATGAGTACATCAAATGGGGTATATTTAGCATTTTTGAAAATAAAATGTATACATACGTTTATTTTGCTTTTAGAGCGCGTTTGATAGGATGTAAAATAATTACTACCTCCGTCCCTAAAAATGCTTCCCAGTTTGGCTTGGCACGCTTATTAAGAAAATGGAATAAAGTGGAAATGTATGGTTGTTGTTGTGTAAGAAAAAAGTGAAATAAATGTGAACCACACAAATTGTCCAAAAATGGTAAGTGGGAATAATTTTTTGAAACGATCCAAAAAGGAAAGTGGGAAGGATTTTCAGGAACGGAGGGAGTACTTTGCATGAGAAGTGGAGGGGCGTAAAAGGTTTATACCGTTTGGTTTGATTATTTAATGTAAACTATAAGACACTTTTTTAAAACATCTTGCACTGTACCATTTAAAGTATTTTGCATGGGTGGGTGGTAAAATACTTTGCATGTTTTTTATAAAGCGCTACAATGTCTTTGTGTGCAAATTAAAAACAAATTACACATCTAGGCAAACAACGTACTTCGTAATTTTTTTTACATGCAAAGTGATTACTTTCCTACACTTTACACGCAATCATTTCACGTGGGAAGACTTAACGCGTAAACTACCAAACGAGTCCTTAAAGTGCTTTGCATTTATTTATTTAAGTAATAGAGACTATCACTTGTTGAAAAGGCACTTAGAGATAAACTAGAGTCATGTGCCTCATTAGCATATATGGGGACCACCCCAATTTTGAAAAACTTTCTATTTAACACTTTATTACACATTAACTTAAAATTCACAAACATTTTCGATTTCACTAAGAACTCATGTATTTAGTTTCATTTAAAGTGTTTTCAATGTAAATAGAGTATTTTTAGCATAAATATAGTTTCGGATTCGAAATTCTTCATTAGGTAATCATTCCGTAGTATTTTGAAAGCGAAGCATGAATATCTATTACTTTATGTGTAAGCAATTTGATAAGCTCATACGAAGTTACATTTTTTTTTTTACACAAGCATAAAAGAGTATCAAATTTGGGATGCATAGGGCACATCATTACACGCCCATAGTTATAACTGTGGATTGTGATCAATCAAGAACTAGACATCTCAAATTAAGAAATGATGAGAATTGAATGAACAAGGTCTAGTGTTTAGAAGAAACATGGGCGAGAATTTTTATACTACCTCCGTCCTCAATTCTCATTCACTATTCATTAGTTAACTTAAATCACTCCTAATCTTTCACTTTAATTTCTCATTCTTTTACTAAAAATAATTTGATTTGAACAGAGATCAAGTTACTTTATCATCAGTCAAACATCGTAAACCGAACGAGAACTTTTTACGGGTCGGAGCGAGTACTGGTTTAAAATTTGAGAAAATTATACAATATCACACACATTAAAGTGCTCATTTGATTACTAATTAACATGATTTGTAGCCAATGTTACTTTTAATATGCGGTTAAGTTGATTACTAATTGAAAAGTGTGATTGAAAGTATATTGACTAATACTTCTAAAACCGATTGCTTGACCTTTTTTCATCTAATAATAATAATAATAATAAGGTGTTCAAAGTAAGACAATTTTTGTTCAAAGTGGACCAAATCGGACATTTTTTCCCCTGTTTTCTAAAAATGATGTTTATTTTTATTTTAGGACATCCAAACACAGAAAATCTCTTAGCCTAGAAATAGCTTTAAGTCTTTATTTTAGGACATCCAATAAATAACTAATCAGTTCTGCCATTGGCTACCATACCTTTGTCTAGGCATGGCAATGGGTCGGGGCGGGGCGGGTACTGCAAGACCCAGACTTGCCCCGTCAAGTCACGGGGCGGGTCTACTCCACCCCGTGACCTGCACGGGTCCAAACTTGTTGACCCATAACCCGCTCCATCAAGGCGGGTCCGCCCCGCTTCGCTCTGCCGTAACCTAATTAGCTAGAACGTAGTATGTATTTTTATTTGTGAGAAGTTGTTACCAATGGAATCTACATAAAGTTTATCTTTAAATAATTATTAAAAATTAATATATTAAATCAAATTTACGATACGCTAGAAATTTCAAAAGTTAAAGAAAAATTACTTAGACTTGAATAGTTAATCTATTTAATTATATTAATACTTGAATATATGTATTAAAATGCTATATATAAAGAAGACAATGATAATCTGTCGTTCATCTCAATCTAATATATATATATATATATATTGATATATTATAAGATCAAAGAATTTATGATTTATTATATACACATATATGTAAGTTGAAGTATATTTGTACTATAATTTAAGAAAATGTATGTATATACTTATATATTGAGCGGGTCGGGGCGGGTCGGGGCAGCACGGGTCAATACTAATACCCATACCCGCCCCATTGTATAGACGGGGCGGGGCGGACCCGCCACATTTGCAAGACGGGACAGGCCAGACCCGCCCCAAATGTCTCAGGCCAGGGCGGGTTATTGCGGGTCGGGTTTTTCTGACATCCCTACTTTTGTCCACATGGACCAATCAGAATGATGTAGTTGAATTATTTAAATCTAAATTAAAAATGATGTAATTATTTGAACCAATCAAGTGAGTGATAGGTACGGTAACTCATTTTTAAAATGAGTATCGGAGTTGTCACCATCTGCACCGTTGAATGATTTTCCAACAATTCTCGAAAACCCATCTACACCGTTGACTCCAAAACACGTGCTGCCGTTTCCCATGCTCCAAGTGGGTGCACGCCATTGGCTGGCCTTCACCAACCTTCACTGCTCATCCCATTCGCGTTTCCTGCAACCGGGCCCGCCACCATGAATAGTAACCCTCTTTTGCTAAATTGTCTTTTTCTCCTTCATAAAAAGAGATAAATTAAAAAACGAAAAAGATAAACTCAGAGAGGCTTACAGCCAGCCATTTGTCGACTGGAGAAACCCATCGCAGCTAAGAAGGAACACCGTCTTGCGGCTTTCAGGAGGGAGGAAAACCGCGAAAATATCCCAAATAGAAGGTAAAACTAAAAGGGAAAAATATCCCCTTTTAGCTTCTTGTTCTTTTTTAGCTCTTAGTTATTTATTGGTTCTGTTTTTTTAGCCCCGCGATTATTAGTTTGTGATAGCTTTTCCCAGTTTCCAGCTTCTGCTCGTGTTTGAAGGATTTTTATGCTAGCTTCGCTTTGTTGAATCAGCTGATATGATGATGCGTTTTTTCTTTTTCTTTTAAAACAAATTACTTGAGTGCTTGTGTGTTTTTGGATTTCTAAGTTGTCGGTTGAAACTTGATCTCTGTTCTCGGTGTTCGATCTCTGAGACTCTGAGCCTTTAGCTGGAAAGTTGTAGGTGAAATCAAATGCGTTTCACGGCTACGAAACTGGTTTGGAACCGGATTCGAATTTCTTGTGCTGAATTGCTGATGTTCGTTGTGAATTTCAGGTTCGGAAGTTCAATCGTAGATCCCACTTGATAATTGATAATTCTCTGTGATTGATAATCGTAATCCAGTGAGGTATTGAAATTTGAAGCCTGGATTGGCCGGAGTGAATGGGGAGCAATATGAACTTCAGGAACTTCGGAAACGAGCAGCCTGGGAGTTTCGGACTGGTGCGGCAATCTTCAATCTACTCGTTGACTTTTGATGAGTTCCAAAGCACCATGGCCAGTGGTGGGATGGGGAAGGATTTTGGGTCTATGAACATGGACGAGCTGTTAAAGAACATTTGGAGTGCGGAGGAAAATCAGACCATTGTTGGATCAGGCAGCGGTGGTGGAACCCTACAAAACGGTGCTCCCTTTGGACATTTGCAGAGACAAGGTTCTCTAACATTGCCGAGGACAATTAGCCAGAAGACCGTTGATGAGGTATGGAAAGACATATTGAAGGATTACTCTTCTGTTCCGAAAGACGGGAATGTTGTTGTTGCTGGAGGCTGCTCAAGTATGCCTAACAGACAGCAAACTTTGGGAGAGATGACCCTTGAGGAGTTCTTATCTAGAGCTGGAGTAGTGAGAGAAGATACACAGATGACTGGACAACCACATATGAATAATAGCATCAATAATAATAATGGTGTGTTTAGTGAAAGTATGTCACAAGCAGTAAACAGTACTGGGTTAGAGTTTGCATTTCAGCCAGCTGGGCAGAATGGGGGACTGATGAGTAGTAGAATTCTTGAAAATAACAGTGAAATTGGTATCCAGTCTGCTAATCTGTTGTTGCATATGAACGGTGGAGCTAATAATAGAAATCCCTTACAACATAACCGTGAGATTGGTATCCATTCTGGTAATATGGTGTTGAGTATGAATGGTGGTGGGGCTAGTAGACCTTCTCAACCACTCCCACCACCACAAAAGCTTGAAGAGCAACACGAACAACAACAAAAGGTGAAACAGAAGTTACCGTTATTTCCCAAGCAACCGCCGTTTGGCTATGGTGGTCCAATGACAATCCCACCTAATGGTCAATTACACGGCAGCAATGGACTAAGGGGGGATCAGGTCATGGGAGTTCCAGATAATGTTGTTAGTGCAATAAACGGAAATCTAATTCAAGGATTAGGAGTTGGGGGTAGAGGTGGGACCACTGTTGCTACAGGATCTCCTGCTGCTTCATCAGATGGGCTCACGAGGAGTAATGGGGATATGTCTTCTGTATCACCAGTTCCTTATACTCTGAATGGAAGCTTGAGGGGTAGGAAAAACAGTGCATTGGAGAAGGTTGTTGAGAGGAGACAGAGGAGGATGATTAAAAATAGAGAGTCCGCTGCTAGGTCAAGGGCCAGGAAGCAGGTACCGCTTTGGTAACTCTGTCAAGTTTACATATAGGGTTCGTTTGGGATAGAGGGTTTTGGAGGGCTTAGTCTGAATCTTGATGATTAGTAAATAGTACCACGTAAAATGTTTATAAAATGAAAAGTGATGAAATGTCATATGATCAAATACTCCGTATATGTTAATATTTCAATGGAATCTCAAATGTATACCAAGATATTGAATATGCTCCCAAAACCTTCCCCTCCAACCCCCTTCAGAACCCTACATTCAAACAGAAACATAGTCTAAAAAACAGAAACTTAGTCTCAAACCTTTTGTCATCGTTTGCTTTCTTCCATTCATGCATTGAATATTTCCTTCTTAAATGTGATAGTGTATGAACTATGAATTGTTATGATTATTTACAAAAAATGAAAGTTTTGAAGAGGTTAAACATAATGTGAAGTTTTTAGCATAAAAATTACATTTAGAAAATACATCATCACATGGTACTGCAAATGATTAATGAATGGGAAACTTCTCGAAATAGGACTAAAACAGGTTCAAAATTCCAAAATAGGACTATGTTTTTTATTCCCAAAATAGGACTAATTACTGTCATGTTTAGAAAATATTGTCATGTTTGAAGTCAGGTACTGGCGTACTGCCAAAACATGACAGTAATTAGTCCTATTTTGGGAATAAAAACATGGCAGTCCTATTTTGGAATTTTCAAACTGTTTTAGTCCTATTTCGGGTAATATCTCTTAATGAATGGATGGTAATATGTTAATGAATGGATGATAATCATAACTTCAAGAATCAGTACCAAGTTAACATATTACTTTGCTTAAGATTTTAATAAAGGACAAGATAATTTCAAATGCATTTGACTAACTTACTAGTGTGTCCGGTTAAACATTTCCAGGCATATACTACAGACTTGGAGCAAGAAGTTGCAAAACTAAAAGAAGAAAACAAACAACTACGTAAGAAACAGGTCAGTCTTGAATTCACTTTGAGATTCTCTTATGTGTGGACATGTTCATATTCCTTTTGCTGATATGCTCATGTGACATTGTTTTTGCTGCAGGCAGAGATGTTGGAAATGCAGAAAGCTCAGGTAAACAATTTTTGTTATTATTATAATCACATTTTACTATTTTAGGCACGTTTAATGGGAAAAAGAGAAATGGAATGTAACCCAACCCTAAAATTTGGTGGTGAGTTTAACACTTAACTTACAAGCTATAATAAAGCTAAACTCTAAGTCCCCACACCAACCTATGCGTAATATTCATTAAGTCAGAACCATTGGTGATGATTTTCAATTCGTTTTTTATGGATAGGGTTAAGGTTGGCTAGTTAAGTGATTCACACATGGGACTTACCTAAATTGTGTGTATCTCTTGAGGCGTAACTGTGTAATGTATTTTTTTTCTATATGGTTATTTGGAGTCTTGGAGATGATCGGACTGCCAGTAAATTTGGCTTTCATAATAAATAAATATAGTTGAAAGATACATCTAGAATTCAAGATTTCTATTAGACCAGAAGTTTTTTGTCATAAAAATATGGTAGATGCTAGGGGGTGGGAACATTCTACACTTGTGAGATTAATATTGGTTTGAAGTAAATCTGTCTCTTATGATGTGTTTTGGATGGAGAGAAAATGGGAAGTAAGATAAAAAGAAAAAGAAAATCCGTATTTGGTGAGAGTAGAGGTGGAGAGTGAGAAATGATTAAATTAAGACTGTGCTTGTATGGAGAATGAAGAAAGAGAGGTCATTATACTTTATATTGAGAATGAAAGAAGATTAAGGTCATTTTATACTTTGTATTGAGAAACGAATGTCCCATTTTGTATTGGGAAAAAATGATAGTATATCCTTCTCTCCCGCTTTGGACATCTTCTCCTGGAATTTTCTGTCTTGTACATACAAGGGAAATAAAATCCTTCTCTCCATACAAGGGAAATAAAATCCTTCTGCCAATTTGTTTTCCCTGATCCAGATTGTTTTTTCTCCAATTCATGTCCTATCCCCTGTTCCTGATCCACTTTCACTGGTCAGGATACATTGAAGGGCTTAAGGGTTAGGTACAAATAATTAATTTTATCACTCACCTTTCATAAGATTACAATATGGTAAAGACCACTCAGTACAAAATGTATTCAGAAGTTGTTCAAGCTGAGAAGGATTTCAATGCAACAGTGCTTGGAACAAAAACCCTTAGGAAAGGAAAAAGAGATGAGAGGTTCACCAATATATTAAAAGAAATAATTAGTTCAAGGCTTAATATGTTATTTCGAACTAATAAGCCTTAAATAGGCAAAAGACAAGAGTACTAAAACAAGGAAAGCAAAATATAATACGGAGTAACTTAGAATAACTTCTGGTCCTTGTGGACCAATCAACTTGGCTTCTTCTTCGTCCTTGTAGACCAATCCGGCCCTATCATAATGCCTCAAAGACCTGATAGACTGATAGTTATTAACTTATTATGACTTGGCAGTGATGCTACCTTTTATCAATGACTTTAAGTACAAATAATTAACTTTATCACACCTCTTGCCTAAGACTGGTTCCCACAAGTAGTCTACAAAACTTGATCTTATCATGGACCTAGCGATAATGTTTAACTGTTTTTTATTGTCAATTAAACCCCAGGAAAAGCTGCATCTTATTAAAGTAGCCAAATGAACTTAATTACTCTTTATCACTGAAAGGCTTTGGTTGGGACACGTGCATGAAAAACGCTAACTTAAAAATTAGCTATCAAATAAGCTAATTTTGGTGTGATGCAGTTATTTAGTACTCCCGGCTTATTTCATGAGCTTTTCTGAGTAGCTTTTCAAGTACATTCCATAATTTCATGAACTTTTCATCAACACTTTAGTTTTAGCCACTTGTTTTAGAATTATTTCATATACTTGCTCACTTGAGAACATTTTTCACACAAATTAGAAGTAAAGTTTTAGGGGTAGTGGATAGTATGCGGAAAGTGAACAAGCAAGTGGGATATGAAAGTACTCCGTGATAAGTTGGAAAGAGGGAAATCAAAAAGTTGGGGTACTATTCCTTTTGGTACATTTATAGTACCTCAAAATGAAAAGTGGAACAAGTAATACTAAATTTTTATAAAAGAAAAATGAAGCAAGTAAAAATGAATAGATTAAGCATATCATTTTGTGCCATTATGTAATTCTATTTTGTGTCATGTAATTCTAAACAACCTTGTTATCCACCTTACCAACCCAGAGTATTGAGATCAATTAGTTTTTCTTTTCTGGACCATAAGCTCCTAACTAACATGTATATAACTCATATCTGGCCTTTAAGCTTGTTTAGTCAACATAAACAAAGTAAATATTGTGTTAATGATTTTCTCTTGTTGCTTGCATTGACCGTGGGAAAAATGCTTATGTTCATTGAAACTATTACAAGAATAGCCTCTAGATTGCTTCCAAACAAGAAAGAAAGTATGATCTGAAATCTACTCAAATGGTATATTATAACTGCAGGGTTTTGAGATGAGTAAACTTCAGGGTGGAGCTAAAAGGCGATGCCTAAGACGCACACAGACTGGTCCTTGGTAAAAAAACAAAAAAATGGTGTACACATTCGGATGGCAATGACTTGCCCAGATACATCAAAATAGGGTTTAGGCATTCGTAAATATGGAGCAGAACGTTATATACATTGGCTGAACAAGAAGAGAGTTATCCGTCCCTTTTCTGTAGATACCTGCAGAAATCAAAACAAAAGCTGGCAATTAGTTGATTTAATGTGTAGATATTTATCTATGTGTATTGGTATGTTCTTAGACTAAAAGCTATGTAGAATTAGTTTTCTGTTTCAACGGCCTGTGCTTATATTATTACTCCGTATTACTTATCACACGCTTTCATAAGTCGAGTAGGATTTCACTCGTCAGTGATATATCAAGTAACGTAAATACAGGGTTTGCAAAGTTTTTACTCCTACCCTTTTCATTATTATTATTATTACAAGAGAATGATGAATATATGATTTACTTAATCACTTGAATGATTCAAGTGAAAGAGGTGTATAAAAATGTGACTCTTGAAGTGACTATAATAGTAATTAGTATCTCACCCGTGCGTTGCACGGGATGTAATATGCATCTATTTAAAAACACTTAAAAAACATATCATAACTCATCGACGAATGAAAGAAATCATAAATCAATCATAACAAATGTTAGAAGTTTAGTAAGCGCATAAATTACAAATCGTTGACTTTGTGGACAACATTTTTAGTAGTTTTTCAAATTCTTTTTTTGGCGAAAGAGTCAAATGGGTGCTTGTATCTTTCGTAATGCTAAATTCGTCGTCTGAACTAAAAAAAAGCTTCAATTGACATCTTGAACTGGATTAAAAGGTTCAAATTTGACAATTTGCAGATAACCATCTGGTCAATGCCACGTCATCAGGTCATGTGCCAACTGTGCATCTGAGGTGGGAGCTCAAGGGATCAAATAAACCCTGTGAATCCAATCGAATTGTTCAATTCACCCCCTCAACCGTAAAAAAGTGTCAAAATTATGAAAAATAAAAAATAAAAACATACAAATATAAAATAAAACACAAGTTAAAAATATAAAATATGAATATGAAATATTTATATTTTACAATAAATTCTTAACAGAAAATAAAATATACACTTAAATATATATAAGTAAAAAATGACATATAGAAGATTAAATTATATACTTTGCACTAATTATTTTGACCATAAAAACTTTATACATTGCTATATAATAAGTAAATATAAAAATAGTAATTACATACTTTTATTAATTATTTAATACTACCCCTGTCCGGCTGTCTTTTAAAACTTTGCCAAAGTTGACCGGCACGGAGAATAATAAAGTAAAAACTATGTGGTTGAGATTTGTGCAGAGGAGAGAGAAATAACAGAAACCAAAAAAAAAATAATTGATTAAAAGGGAAAGTGGCAAAGCTTTTTGAGACGTCCCAAAAAGGAAAGATGGCAAAGTTACAGTAGTTTTTTACATATTAAATATACTACGTAGTAATTATATGTACATTATATTGTATAAAGTAAGGTAATACATATATGTATGTATGTATGTATGTATGTATGTACACATAACTTTCACATTTTTTATATAAAATATAAATAAAATATTTGAATATAAAGGTAAAGAAATTATTTTAGTTTATATTTTATTTTCATTTCAAATTAAATGCAAAATAAAAATATTTCATTTTTATATTTAATATTTTAGTAATGTATTTTATTTATATTTGTATTTTTTATTTTTCGTAATTTTGACACTTTTTAACAGTTGAGGAGGGTGATTTGAATAATTCGATTGGGTTCAGGGGCTTATTTGACCCTTTGATTTGCAAAATCAGATGCACAGTTGTGCATTTGATCTGATGACATGACGCTGACCGAAATTGTCAAATTTGAAACTTTTTATCCAGTTAGGGTGCCAATTAGAGCTTTTTTTAGTTCGGGGAACGAACTGAGTATTATGAACGGGTATAGGGATCTATTTGACCCTTTAGCCTTCCTTTTTTCATCGTATATCACGACCTTTATCTCAAACGGACTTGTAACCCTCAAACCACAACATAAAAATTTGCATGCGTAAAAAGAGTACATGAGAAAACCTTAAAGCTAAGGTTTCCCGCAATTGCCCTTGGCTCTTCCCTTTTATGAAATAATGTTTGCCATCTTTTGAAACTATACTATTATGCATAATTAACTTTGAACGTATATAAACTTTGTATGTTAACCATGTATTAAATAATACGGAATATTACTTAAACTATTCAAAACTAACATCCCCTTTGAGTATTAAGTCAATCGACTAAGAACTTCTAATAAGCTAATAGGCCAATTAGTCAATTAAATTGACTAAGAACTTTCATATATGCACTATAAAGCTTTTTTGGCCATGAACAAAAATCTCTAATGCATATATAGAAGTTCTTAATCAACATAGAAACCTCTACTTTATGTCACCTTTGGACGTCTTATTCTGCTTGTAAATGAACGTGTGAATAATCTTGACGTCTAATAACAAATGCATATAACTAAGCATCAGAAGGGGGTGTTTGGAATTATTTTGCTTCTTCTTTTTTAAGAGCAGAAGTAGAACCAGAATAAGTTTTTTAGGCGCTGGTCTCCCATGCTTCTAAAAACGGCTTTTATGAACAATTTGTATCACCCAGAAGTACTTCTGCCCTTTCACCCAAACACTTCAATATTTGCTTCTACTCCCAGTTTTAAGAAGTAGATCCATTTACCCCTGATTCATTATGATTCATCTACTCGATGACAGTAAATCATTTCTTTTAATACCTGTTTCTTGTTCATGACCCTTGATTAATTACATTGCTAATTAGTTTAAAGAAAACTTGTCACTTGTTAAAGTGTTTTACTATTTTATATAGATTTTGAATACATACACATATTGTAAAATTTTAAAACTACTAATTAACAACATTCAGCGTATTTTAATTTTTAATATTCCCTACATCCCAACGGATGTTGTCTACTTTAATTTAAGTGTGGAACAAGAAAAATAAAAACGAGGTTGCTGCCATTTGTGTGGAGGAAAGAGAATTAAGAAGAATCACAAATTCATTATTCTAAAAGAAAAGTAAATAAACAAAGTGTTTTGGACAAACAAAAAGGGAAATTGACAAAATTCAAAGAAATTGAGGGAGTAAGTTCTTTGTTGGCATGAAAGTCATACTGCCAATATGCGTTGTTGATATTATTGCTTCTTCCATTGTTTGAAATAAAGTAACTTTGTACTAAAATCAGGGGAGGAAGTATAAAGTAAGGGGGGCTACAAATTAAAGACTTAAATGGGAAGCAAAAAAACAACTCATAAGACTTTTGTTGTTGATGGACCGGCTGAACTTTGATCAATATGGATGGAACAGAAAACTTGCCCAAATACCTTAGATGTAAGAAAATGAAATATAACAATAGTCACCACTTAGATGTAAGACAAACCAGCTGAAGTTTGACCAAACCATGTAGCAAATCCTCCTACAAACCTGCCCATAGTGCAAAAATCAACTCAAAAATCAGCTGAAAAGCTACCCAAAAGAGCTACTGAAAACTTGCGCAAATCGTAAACTATCCCTAACAAATTTGAATATGCCTAACATATTAGTGGCAACCACCAAATAAAAATGAAACCAAGAGAAATCAGCCAAATGCCAATAAAACATAGCTCCACCTACTTAAAAAGTTTCATTTATTTTAAATGATGTCCTTTCGTATTAGGGTAAAAGGGAAATAATTAAGATCAAACGATACCAACTTAAAAGTAAGAACACCAGCAGTGCATTCATGTCAAGATAAATTGATAAAGTTCATTTATTTATTTTAGTTTATTTTTACATTCATTTATTCACTCACAAAATGCCTATATAGAAGAGTTTATTCCTACATTTTGTGACTTGCCATATCCATACCCGGAGTTTGAATTTAGACAATGTTGTATAAGCACATAACAAATCCCAAAGGTGAGAAAACTAAAACTATGTACTCGTATGATATATCCAATCAAAACATTCAAATAGTGACATCATCCATTATATTGATTTTACTGGACACATCACATAATATTAAAAAAATCATTTGAGGAGGCTAGAGAAAATAAAAAACAACACCTCATAGCCCTTGAATTATTGGACTATATTCATAATCATTAAGTATTAATAATGTGGTCTCATGTGTGTATGTAGACATACCCGTTAATACTTGATCTTTTTATCTCAATCAAATCAAGTGGGTTTGATTCAAAATCATGTGAGAATAAATCAAGTACCACAATAGAGGTTGATGGAGTAATGAGACTAGGCCTAGAGCCTAATCAGCCCAAGCTCCGAATTTGGACCCGTGGATCCAAGTCCACAACCTGGAGCCTGCCTGCCAGCCCAGCAGGGAGCCTGCCAGTCCGGCCAACCTTCCAGCCCGGAAGAGTAACTGTCAAGCAATTAATGCGCTATTAATTATGTATTTAATTTTGTATTAATGTTGTAATTAATTAGTCATTATTATCGGTAGCGGTTACGATTTGTATACGCCTATAAAAGGCGGTTTGTAATTCAGATTATGGAGCGAATTCTATATGCTATTTCTGGTTACCAAATTCCCTTTGCAACTTTCTTTATTCATATTACTTTCTTGATTCTTGCTTGAGTGTCGTACGTAGCTTTCCTAAAAGCCTACGAGCGTCCTATTTTGGACAACATTGATGCTTTCATTGAGAGCCTTTGTGTCTCTCATATCACTCTAGTAGAAATTAACCAGAAAATTTCAGAAAAAATGAGGGGAGATTGAAGATTTCTAGCAAATTTGGACTGTAATTTCGAGGTTCGAGACTTTCTCGATCAAGTAAGAAGTCCCTGTTAGGATCCAGTCAGCTGAAGCTGCGCACAGCCAGAGCATGGTGGATCGGAACTATTTTCCGACGAATTTGATTTCAACCTCTCATTATCGCAGCCTCACCCGAGCCTCCACGGAATACAAAATCTAAGGCAATGATGGCCAAGGCACACCATCAGCAGTGACCGAGGCCTTCCATGTACCAAATGCGAATCACCAGTCGCCCCTCATCCCTGGACCTGCTCTCTGGTGGCGTGGGTGACAGATCCCTAGCGTAAGCACTCCTCGTTCGGGCTTGCCGTGACGCGATGAGATTCATGAGAACCTACACAATACAGCATCGCGGCGACGAAAGCTCCACCTCTAACTCCATCCCGCGACGGCCATGGTGGGGGGCACTTTAGCGATAGTGACCGTCGGACGCCCGAAGATCTCCCTCTCCACTATTGTCACAGACAACGATTTTTGGGATTCATCCCTTTCTTTGGGTATAGCCGGTGACGATGGTAAAATATATCCTACAACCTGCTGTACCTAGAGCATGGTACAGTTGGGTATTTTTGCAATATATCCGAACTTTAAGGCTTT